CCAAATTATATATCTATATCTATATCTATATCTATATCTATATCTATATCTATATCTATATCTATCTATCTATCTATCTATCTATATTTTTAGAGAGAGAGAGGAAGGGAGAGAGATAGAGAGCTAGAAACGTCTATGAGAGAGAAACAACCAGCTGCCTCTTGCACACCCCCTACCGGGGATGTGCCCGCAACCAATGTACATACCCTTGACCGGAATCGTACCTGGGACCTTTCAGTCCACAGACCGACGCTCTACCACTGAGCCAAACCGGTTTTGGCAGAACATACATTGTTCTTAAGTGAACATGGAACATTCTCCAGGATAGATCATATGTTCAGTCACGAACCAAGTGTAAGCAAATTTAAAAGCACTGGAATCATACCAAGTATCTATTCCAACCAAAATGTTATAAAACTATAAATTATTAACAAGAGAAAAACTGAAAAATCACAAATATGTAGAAATTAAACAATATTTTCCTGAATAACCAATGAGTCAAACAATCAAATAGAATATAAAAATATCTTAAAATAAATGAAAATGGAAACATAACTTTTAGGATGCAGCAAAGATTGTTCTAAGAGGTACATTTAGAGTAATAAATGCCTATATTAAGAAGAAAAAGAACGATCTCAATCAAACATTATACCTCAAGGCACTATAAAGAGTAAAACAAAATAAGCCTAAAATTTGCAGAAGGAAGGAAGCAACAAAGTTTAGAGCAGAAATAAATGAAACAGATTAGAAAACAATTGAAGAAATCCATAAAATGAAAGAAAAGTAAACAAATTTGACAAACCCTTAGCTAGACTTTCCAATATTAAAAGAGAGAAGATTAAAATAAAGCAAAATAAAAGATATTTTAACAGATACCACAAAAAGATAAAGGATAATGAGACCACTATGAACAATTATATGCCAACAGATTAATAAAGTAGGAGAAATGAATAAATTTCTAGAACTCTCATATAATCTAAAATGACTGAATCTTAAAAAAAAAAGAGAAAATCTGAACAGATCAATAATAAGTAAGGAGATTGAATCAGTCATCAAAAACCTCCCAACCAAGACAATCCCAGAATCAAATAACTTGGTTAATTCTATCAGGCATTGAAATAATTAATGCCTGTCTTTCTGAAACTGTTTTAAGAAAATGAAACAGGAGAGAATGCTAGGATTCTGCTGTTACCAAAGCCAGACAAATATTTTGAAATTTAGCAACTTTTATTTTAAAAATAATCCCATCTGAGGTGGTGGTCTTAAACAACTGGATGACCCCACAATAGAGGTTTCCAAGTCAGAATAATTTAAAGAAGAACGTGAATTATCTCTATTTTGCCATAGCTTCCTCCTCTAAATTATTTTGATGGTGATAAATCTGCAAAATTTATAGGGGACTCATACAATTTAGCAAAATGAAAATAAATAATCTAATAAAAAAAATGAGCAAAGGACCTAAATAGATTCCTTTTGAAAGAAACATACAGAAGGCCAAGTGACATATGAAAACATGCTCAAAGTCATTAATCATCCAAGAGATGCAAATCAAAACCACAACGAGGTACCATCTCACATAATCAGAATGGCTATCATCAACAAATCAACAAACAAGTGCTGGCAAGGATGCAGAGAAGATTCCCACTGCTGGTAGAAATGCATACTGGTGCAGCCACTGTGAAAAACAGTATGGAGTTTCCTCAAAAAAATTAAAATGGAACTCCGATTTGATCCAGTAATCCCACCTCTAGAAATATATCCCAAAAAATTAATAATACCAATCAGAAAGGATATACACTTCTATGTTCATAGCAGAACAATATATAATAGCTAAGATTTGGAAACAGCCTAAGTGCCCATTCAGCAGAAGAGTGGATTAAAAAAAATGTGGTATATCTACACAATGGAATACTACCCTGCTATAAAAAAGAAGGAACTCTTACCATTTGCAACAGCATGGATGGACCTGGAGAGCATTATGCTAAGTGAAATAAGCCAGTCAGAGAAAGATAAATATCATATGATTGTGGAATATAATGAACATAAACTGATGAACAAAAATAGATCCGGAGACATAGACACATTGAACAGACCGTCCGACCTCAGAGGGAAGGCAGGCGAAGGGGGGACGGTATAAAAGACCAACTAAAGGACATGTATGCATGCATATAAGCATAACCCATGGACACAAACAGTAGGGGCATGAGGGCATGTGCTGGGGGGTCAAAACAGGTGGGGAGAGGTCAATGGGGGACAAATGAGACATATGTAATACTTTAAACAATAAATAATTTTAAAAAGGAATAATGCACCTGAAATTTGTTCAGTGTTTGCTCCATCAAAAATGTTTTATGTCATTTTAATATTTATAAAATAAAAGTAAAATATATAATTTTTACATTAAAAATGTAAAAAGCAGATACAGAGGAATTAAATAATAATAGGTGGCAGAACCATATGCTTAACCATCCTATATAATAATCCTATATAATAAAAGGGTACTATGCAAATTGACCCTAAAGTCAGGATGGCCAGAATGACTGCTTGAATACCCACTATGAGGTACACTGACCACCTCTCAGTTCATTTCCTCGGCTGGCAGGCTCTGATCACCCAATAGTGAATGTGGAACCAGGGATAGATGGCAGGGGATGCAGGAGGTGCCAATCTAAGGCCCCTGCCCAGCCAGTTGCCCCAAATGTGGAGGATGACCCATGGCAGAGGTAGGACCGGCGAGCAAGTGGGAATGGCTGACCTCTCGGTTACTACCCCTAGCCAGCAGGCTCTGATCACCTGATGGCAAACGGGGTACCAGGGATGGGTGGTGGCAGGGGACAGGGCCAGCTGGAGGTAGCCTGGGAAGATGACCCTGATCACAGGCCAGGCCTAGGGACCATATCTGTGCCCGAATTTTGTGCATTGAGCCTCTAGTTTTACTATATTTTTCTGTTTATATCATTGAATGTCTGTCTCTCTTATGCCTCAAGTGGCCTTGTATTATCATTATCTATGAGTCTTTCTTTTCAAGTACAAACTATTCAACTGAAATAACTAAAAATCACAGATGCACAAGCATACTCATATAACCTTTTCATTTTAAAGCTTTTCTAGCATATTATTATGCATCTCTTTAATTTAAATTTAAACTTTTATAATTCAAGAAGGAACTGGAGGCAAGTTACTTGAATATTTTTAACCTTTAAATAATTATACTATTCTTATTCCTTTTTCACAGTATTTAGCACATTCCTTTTATATCAGAAGTGCTCAAATTTTGTTAAATGTAGTTAATCTGTGTCAGCTCCCAGATGTCCCCAAATTTCCCAACATTCTAGAATCATACTTTCTTCTAATATTTTAATAGAAAGACTAGAGTTTCTATTCAGCATGCAGTGGAAAGATCACTGCTCTTCTGCCTCACAATAGTTCTGAATCTTATGGGTTGGAGGAGGGCTCCCATTTATTTCCTCTGGTCACCAGCCACTTGAGTTGAACTCCTGCTATTCGTTCTACTCTGTGACTTGTCTCCTACAATTGTCATTTCCTTGCTAGACTGGACATTGCTCTACTGGCGTAAGTGTGTTTTGTGGTAGACTCTTCCCAATGTCACAACTTTCATTTATACATTCTATCATTCACTAATTATATTGGGAACTGATAAAACAATGATAAGCAAACCATCTGCACAATCATGTAGCTCATATTCTAATCAGGAAATATAAAACTCACACAGGCACACAGAAAAATTTTAAATTACAATTGAGATAAGTATGAGGGAAAGGCCCATGGTGGATTGAGAGTTATGGTAGTGGATTTGAACTGAGAGCTAATGGATAAATAGACATCAACCAGCCTTGTGCAGAGATAAGAGGGGGAGAAGGTGTAAGACAAGGTAGATGCAGAGATTTGAAAGAAGAGGTCTACGTCCAGGTAAGAATGATGGTTTAAATCAGGGAAATGATGTTGAACATGAAGATAAAGGAAATATTTGAGAAACATTTAGTACAGTGTAAAGAAAGATAATTGGTAATATGAGTGAACCATACCGTATTAAAAAAATATAGATCTCCATATATAGAGCAACTTGAAAAAAGTGCATGTAGACATACATTATAGTTATAAAAATTTATCAGACTTGTTTGAATTTGGAAAATATTTCACCAGTTATGTCACTTATTAGGTTCTTGCCTAATAGATTTTATATACCCACCTTTTCTGCCATAAAGCCATATTCTCTATCACCATTTTGTTGCTTTACCTATTTCTGGAAATAATACAATTATTATGTGAACAGTTTAACAATAAATCTCCAATAGCTTAGTCCCCACTTTGCACTCCAACACTTCCATTGAGCTGCTGCTAAGCTGTCTGCCACAATTCCACTCCTAGTATTACAAAGAGCTAGGAGAAATACTGAAGTCACATCACTGTTTTTTGTTGTGGTTTTTTTTTTTTGTTTGTTTGTTTTTTTGTTTGTTTTTGTGTGTGTGTGTGTGTGTGTGTGTGTGTGTGTGTGTGTATGTCGGGTTTTTTTTGTTTGTTTGTTTGTTTTTTTAGTATGCCTTAGTTCAAATTCTTATGCTTAGACTTTTACCAGAATATCCAGGGTCATGGGGCTATGTATGGTAAGGAACATTTTCATCTCCCCATTGATCATAGTCAACTTCAACCGTCTTTTAGCCTTTCATATCCTTACATCTCATTTTTTTACTGACAAGCTATAGTATATACATCTCCTAGGAGAATATTGACTTTTTATTATTGTCCAGTTCTTATTCTATATGTCATACTCTATCCTCTAAAATATCAGTTATAATAACCCCAAATAGCTTACCAAAACTATACACTAATAATATAGTAATCTGCACAGAGTTAAGAACTTGATGTTAACAATGTAGAATCAAATGCTTTATAATGAATTATGACTTTCAAAGTTATATATTCCTGGGAGGAGGAATATCTATACCTAATATTGGATCTGTTCTTATCCTCTCTAAAAGGGAACATACTTCTGTAGCAGACGTCCCCATGTTTCCATATCCAGATTTCTTCACCAAGAGAGATGAAGAATTGACAAGAATCATTGAACATTATGTAAGATTGACTTTCTTAAACTACTTGCAAAAGCTTTGTTTTTTTAAAGGTATTTTGAATTAGAATGTGTAGTTCTGATAGTTTAATATTAACATGTGGAACTTAAAAGCAGAGCCATGTGTGGGCATTGCTAAACTTAATTATATCTCACTGTATTACTATACATATCAGAGCCTTCACTGGGCTACAGAAAATTGGCCTTTGTCATCTTACCTAATAATAGACAAACATGTAAATTGACCGTACCTCTCCTACACCCACAGCCAATCAGAGTGAGTATGCAAATTAGAAGGCCAAAGATGGTGGCGGGGGTTGTAGGGATCTACAGGAGTGGAATGCCACAGAAAAGGCTCTGACCTGAGTCTGCCGCAAAGACCAAGAAGGCAGACTCCAGCTGGAACGAAGGCCTGGGTCCTGGGTGCTGGAGGAAAACCAGCGCTGGAAGCCAAGGGAAGGAAGGCATATTGCAAGCGTGCAATGGGCCTCTACTTTAAAATACTAAATTTATCCTGTTTCTTGAATTAGTAGATTTTAAAAACAAGAATCTGATATTGAACACTAAACACTGGGTTTTTTTCCCTACAGTATAGTTTTAAAAATGGAACAAAAAATTTTTGACTCAATTTTCAGTGACCATTCTTTGCCCTTGAAATATGAGAAAGACTTTAATCACTTTGTTTGTGGTATAAGTTAAACAAACTGTGGCAATACAAGGCTATTCACTTAAGATACTTTAATTCATTGAGCTTTTTTAGTTAATTTCTTTCTAAATCGTTTTATGATTGCCATTTTGTTTAGGAGTTGTTTACACCATTTACTGAATATTGTATGTTCTTGCCTCCTTTGCCAAATATTAATTGTCCATAAAGGTGTGGGTTTTTTCCTGGGATCGCTATTCTGTTCAGTTCATATATATGTCCTTATACCTGTATCATGATATTTTTTATTACTGTGGCTTATAGTATAGTTTCATAGCAGGTAGCATGAATCCTCCAACTTTGTTCTTTGTTCTCAGAATCATTGTGGCTATTCCTGGTCTTTTGTAGTTCTATATAAATTTTGGGGACATTTGTCCTAGTTCTGTGAAATATGCCATTGGTATTTTGATAGGAATTGTGTTGAATCTATAAATGCTTTTGGTAGTATGGACATTTTAATGATGTTAATTTTTTTTAACATCATTACATGCTTCAACTTATTTATATCTTTTAAAATTTCTTTCTTCAGTGTTTTATAATTTTCCAAGTGCAGGTCTTTTACATCCTTGGTTAAATTTATTTCTAAGTATGTTTTGATACAGTTGCAAATAGGATTGTTTTCTTAGTTTCCCTTTCTGATAGTTCATTTTCATGTATAAAAATACAACCAATTTATGGATATTTATTTTGTATCCTACAACTTTACTGAATTTATCAGTTCTAAAAGTTTTTTTTTTTTTTAATGGAATCTTTAGGGTTCTCTTCCATGATTAATTTTTTTACATTTCATTTAATTAGTGATCTTTTGAGAAATGATATGGGATTATTTCATTTACTGATCCCACTGAATTGTAATTTATTATATAGCTAATATTTAAACTATTCTAGCAATACCTATGAGTACTAGGATTTGAAAACAGAATGATGCCCTGGAAACACAAAGTAAGAGCCATAGTATTATATTTTTATTCCATAATGTAAGTTTTGCTAAACCAGTATATCACATGTACAGGGTAGTATAAAAAATTACTAATGGTTCATAAATGTGGCACCTATATTTTACCAATCGCTCAGCTGAATTATCTAGAATAGATTACAAGAGACAACAAATTGTCAAGGTGTATATACACATATATATAGTGTAATATGGATCCTAAAAACTATCATTTTTTCCTCTTTCAAAGGTATGAGCATTATATAAGCAATCACCCACCATGAATCTGTTTAGAATGTAGCTATAGAAGGGTAAAGGAATCCTTTCTAAAAATAAGTTTGCTAGAATCCAAATTGTTTGATATGTGGGTAGCCTAATCAAATAGTAGTACAAACTACAAAGTATTGATTTGGGAAGGTTTATGGAAGTATCTTTGAATATAATATTTAACAAAATATTCAAATATATGCCATTTCCTTTCAGGAAGCTATAGCAGTACTACTTTGTACGTTATATTTTACCCTTTACAAAATGTCCTTACATTAGTTACTTCAATTTTCACAACAACACTGTAAAATAGTTACCAACAAGAATGGCGGTTTACATTTCAGTTATTTTACCAAGGTTTTAAAGTTAGTGAATGATTGAATGTACAGACAAAACAAAATCTTTGGACTTCAAATCTTCTTTTCTTTTTAACTTTAACTCATTATTCAGTTTTCTGGTTTATAATCCCTAACCTGAATGGAAATGGGGGATGGGGAGGTAGAATCTGTAGGATTGACAAGAAACAAAAACACAGCTATATAGTAGCCATAGTAAGCAAGGAATACGGCAGATACCTAATTGTGCAGCAGATACTAAGATACTGCTGATATTCCATAGTATGATGATTGAATCCCTGAGTGAAAGGGTTGAAAAAGTAATAAAAGGTGCTTCTATTCACCATCAATTTCAAGCAAACCTACATCTTTCTGGCTGCCACATTAATGATAATATTGGCCTATAAAAGTAAAGACAAGACAATGGTTTATCCAAATAGAATTGGTAAGGTGAACAGAGACAAAAATGTGAGAGGAAAGTTTACTTTCTGTTGGGTTAACAAAATGAACGTTTATCATGTTATGGTGAATTCCAGCCTTGCCAAGTCTCTCAAAGGGGGAAAGGAGGAAAAACAGACCCTAGATATTAGTGATATATCATATTCCTGTTTTTATACATGCTGTTTTGGATACCTAAGCATTCTGTTTTACTAAGAGTTCTTCAGCATTAATTCTCTGTCAATTTTTCACAGTGTAAAGATCAAAATCATGAGGTACACTGAAATCTCTCATATAAGCAGATTAGTTATCCGGTTTAGATACTGTTTTATTTCACCAACTACTACTTTTATGCTATAACATAAAATTGGTAGTTTTGTGATACAATATTACTACTTAATTTATTATATGAGAAAAATTATGTCTCAGATAAGTATCACAGAATGTGTAGCATGAATTTCAGCCTGTGCTTGAATGTTCAGGATGCTTTGCCTCAATTTTCTGGGTATTTCATGCAAAAAATGGTTTCTGAGAAATGAAATTATATGAGTAATAACTGTTTATAGGAACAGCCTCAAGATAAGTGCAAGTAATTTTTGTATTTCTTACATCTTTAAATTTTAATTGGAGTTTAAAAAGTAGATATAATTTTATTATGCTTCTAAAACCTATTTACTCTGTGTATGTTGACATTTTAAAAAATGTTATTGCCTTTGGAAGGCTGAGTGATGTGTAATTGATTCTGAGGTTTGGTCTTGGTCCTGCTTATTCATATCAGTTATAATTCACAGCACTGGGATAGAGTAATCAATAAGTTAATTGATAAGTTGTTAAGCATAGTCACTTGTATGTAGCATGAAGGGAAGATGACAAAACAAGCAATGTAGGTAGTATCTTTAGAAATTTCCAATATTTCATGCTAGGAGGCATTCTGCCTTGAACTTTTCACCTAGCCTAAAGAGGGTTTACTACCTCTTTTTACTCTATCTTTCATGAAAGATATTAGAAGGGGAAAAAAAAAGTCCTCCTCATGTTGCTTGGTTGAAAGGCCATTGTTACTTCCAACTCATTATTCCTAGGAACCTTTGTTCCAGAAGACAAAAACAAACAAACAAACAAACAAAAAAAACCAAGGACGCTTCAAAGAAGAGGAGGGATACTGTTTGATACACAGCGGACTCAGGGAACAACCTTCCAAATCTGAGTGAAGGAACATGCATGGGGCTTTCCTTTATATCTTCCTGTGGTCTTTGTCCCACAAACATGGATTATGTTCTGGTCCTTTTCGCTGGCCTTACAAGAAAGCCCCCAGGTGTTGGGGGTCTCCAGGCCATAGCTGATGGTCTGGCCTGGCACTAATGTTAATAAACCTCCCCTGGGGGCAGTGCACTGTCCACAGCCCCATGGCCTCTGTAACCCGTTCTGCAAGACCAGTATCTGGGAAGGAGGCCATGACTTAATTATAGGTGATCAAGAATGTACACTGAGCTTGCTGGCATGGTTCAGATCACTACCTCCAAATATCAGGGTTACATTGGAGTTAGCCCTTTTTAGCCTTCTCACCTGCAGATATGCTGTTATTGTTATGAGTTAACATGCTCAATTGCAATGAATGTTATATATATATATATATATATATATATATATATATATATATATATACACACACACACACACACACACACACACACAGATGTATATATTCTAATAATCTACTGCAAATCAGCATTTATTGTCTGATTAATTTCATTTTTTGACCTCACATGTAACAGTATCACAATTTCTGCCTTTCACTTTAATTTGGTCTTTCTTTGGCTTGATTTTTTACTTTATGATTCTGTGATCTCATATAAACACCAATATTGATGAAGAAAGGAAATTCATTTGGTATATGGAAATATAAACCTTATTATATTTTCTTATTCTTAAAAATGTTAAGAGGGAGTTATTCTTTATATGTATGGGGCTTGTACACTTTCTGATAGATGGCTTACATATTTTTTCCAGTGTGGTAGAGTATGAATTCCTGAAGAATATCTGTGAGAAAACCTAAGTTGATAATTGAATATATAAATTTGCATTTTGAGAAGTTAATTTATTAATCATATGTAAATGACACCTTTTCTCTGTAACAGTGGGAGAAAGAGCTAAAGATCCGACAGAAAGAAGATGAAATATCTGAGGCCAAAGAACGTGAAGATAAAAAGTTAAAGGAAAAAAATCACTTCAAAGAAATTATGAAAAAAAGAGAAGAGAAACTACACAAGCAAACCAAACCCTATGAGCTTCCTCCTAGGACTGAAGTAATTTCATCAGAAGCAAAAATGACCTTCCCAAATTGAGATCCATGTGCCAGAAGCTTACTGCATAAAGGAGACCATGATAGCTATATGTTAGGAAAAAGTTCTTCTACTTAACTGGAAACCATCTCTTAGAAAGGAGTTGTTATTCTGGTACATGCTTTGTAATAGTCATATCTTAGTCTTCAATTAACAGCTTTTAATCACATTTGAGTGAAGTGATTTTATCAATTAAACATTTTCAAGGATATAGCTAGACTTTTCCCAATTAACTCTTATCTTGTGATCATACAGCAGACTTAATCAATGATTCTTAGAGCATTGATATTCATTGGACAGTTAGATGGAAATAAATGGCAAATTTTTAGAGAGTTGCATGTAAGAATTATTTCTTGAAAACAGAATGAGCATTAACTGATACTCCTACAGTAATTATTACTCAAATAAAAGAAGCAAAAGACCTGTTTGGATTTGTATTTCATAGTCAATTTGTGCCAAATCAAACCATATGTCAGAAGCTGCAATTTGATAAATTATTGTTTATAAGCAAATCTGAATGGCCCAGTCATCTCAGAATGAGTTGAACCTTAACATTTATCAGAGCAGACTTTTGAGACAGTGGTTTTACTTTGTCAGATACATTGATGAGAATGGATGTGGATGATCCTGGAAGGTACAGTTGCATTTACTGATTATCCAATCAGGAGTCATCTTTACAATGTCAATTCATTTTATCTGATGTTCTTAACCTATGGGTAAGAGTAATGAGATGGGGTTCCTGTGATGCCTTATACTCCTCTTTGTCTAAAAAATGTAGATAAAAACCAACTTTAATTTTGTATAGGTGGCTTGATGATACTTAAGAGACAGGTGATTTATCAGAGATATCAAATTCAAATGACTACCAGGTCAGGAAGGTAATATAAATTAGTGACAAGGGCTACAGAAAACCTATTCTACCCTAAGAAAGTCCCCACCATTCAGCTGTACTTGTGCTGTATGTCCAGTATTGTGGGATTATCCAATCTTTTAAGAACATCTCAGATGGGATTATTTTTTAAAATAAAAGTTACTAAATTTCAAAATGTGGGCAAGTACCTAAAAAAACACACATAATTTTGGTTTAAATTTGACACATAGACCACAAGTTTTTACCTACAAAAGAATATACATATAAACATGCATATATATATATATATATATATATATATATATATAGAATGTATATGTTTGAGAATACATAAAGATACAAGGATTCTTTTGGTATATGGGGCGATGCTCTACCCAACTGAGCCACCCAGCCAGGGCATAAGATATAAGGATTCTTAATCAGCTCTATAGATAATAACTTTGCCCTTAAATTATTCTCTAAAATTCTTTATTAAGTTATTCTTTAAAAATTTTTTAAATTTGGCAACTCATACTTCTTATGGTTTTCCATAAGAAGTATGAGTTGGGCCTCATAGATCTGTGCCCATCTTCTACCTATGCCTTCTGCTAGCTATGAAACCTTGTCACTGAACCCATCTGAGCTGCAGCTTACTCATTTAGGAAATGGGCACAATGTATATTAATAGTGGTATCAGTCAGAAGTTAATTAGGAAAATGGAAACAGATCAGTCATTTTATGAAGAATTTAATGTAAGGAATTGTTTGAAAAGGTGTTAGAGGACTGAGGCAATGAAAAGGCAACTAAGACATAGGCAGAAAACCATTACTGCAGGACACTGCCACCCCCTCTAGGCGCAGGGCATCGGAGAGGAAAGGATTGGGTTATTAGAATCTGGTACTGTGGAGGGGGCAGCACACACAGTGGGAAGCAGCCCTCTGAGTGGGAGGCACTGCCCAGCTAGTACCTCTGACCAGGCACAATAAGGCTGTTTAGGGATTCCACAAAGAAAAAAGAAACTGGAATAAGTTGGCTATTCCAGAAACCATGTTGTCAGGAAGAACAAAAACCCCCTAGAAGAAGCAAATTCTTTCTCCCCATCCTGGGACGCTTCCTCCAGTGCAGAGAAAAGCAGGGTGGCTTTGCTGCTGAAAGACGCTGGTTAAATAACTGGAAAAAACTCCAAGCTCAATGCCTAGAACATACTAGGCCATGCAATAAAAGTCAATTCTCCTTTTCCCCCCTGCATATTAGGCCCTGTTTTTTTTTTTGTGTGTGTGTTTGTTTGTTTTTTTACCTTTTCTGAGATAAAAACAAACAACAAAAACCCAACAAACAAAAAAACACCAAAAATTGGAAGCATCATGACCTTTTAAGTTCATGTAAAAGGTTTAAAAATAATTTTTTTACTTTTTAAACAAAGCAGAGGTTAACATAATCAAACTTTAATTCTTCCAGTAAGTACTTAACTCAGACTCAAATGGAACTCTTTGTAATGTATCCTTAATATTAATTTTGCCTCAAAATTTACAAAGGTTTCGATGAGCCTCAGGCTGAGTTGGTCACCAGTCAGATTCTTTAAACTCCTCTCTTGCTGTTCAGCTTGTGCTTTCTCAGCCTTGGTTATTGATTTTCCCAGACTCTTCCCACTAGAAGTTGGTTAGACTCTGAGAAGAAAAGGGAGAAAGATACTCCGTGTCTTTTACCCACTGCAGCTCGTATTAATCTGTAAATGCCTCACTGCTAGGAAGTGGTAACCTATCCCAGGTCTAAATTCTTTTCTATCCAAAACCTGTTTCTTTGCTACTTTACACTCTGTTTACTTTTATTTTAAAGGACAAACCTAGATCTTCCTGCATCTGTTTATTATAAATTCTCTATAGACTTCTCTTAGCATCCACCAAAGCAACATTTTGGTGTTTTTTTGTTTGTTTGTTTTTTTGCACATACTATATCACAGACTTGTTTCCTGATTGAGAAGAAAATATTTATAGAAATTTTAGCTAGTTTCCCTAGGGTTCTGGAAATTAAAAGACATATATTAGATGACAAAAGAGAGAAAAGGTAAATTATAAATTCTGAGAAACAGAAGCATAGAAATAAGCATTTCTTCTAGTGCAATTTAAAAAATAGAAATAAAAAGATCCACAAAGGATTGAAGGGCATGACAAAAAGAGGTTTAAGGAAGAAAATAGGCAAAACAAACACCTTCTCTGTGGATACTAGTGAGTAGGTGTTTGGGGAAAAGTGGCCTGCAGAGTAGTAGACAATTAAAACAATGATAGAAACTCTATAGTGATGTTTAGCAATTATAATTCAAGTATTTGATTCCTTTTGCTGATGCCGTAAAAATCCTCTTTGGGACATATAACTGTCTACGAGTTAATTTAGAGTGACTTTCCTCACTTTAAATTTTTTTTCATTTTGATATGGAATTTTTGGACTGGAACCCAGATTATCTTATCCTCCCTGAGTTGAAGAATGAATCAGTGGACAGAAGGTAGTACAGTAAAGGTGGAGATTTATTGAAGAACAAGTACAGATTCCCATGTAGGGAAAGGACAAGATTCTCAGAGCACAGACTCCCAAGTAGGGAGGGGGAAAGAGTCCCACAGATTTCCTGTTTCCATGGGTTAAAAGGCTGCAGTTCCTGTGTCCTGACATCCCTTCTGATTGGTCAATATTCCCTTTTGAATAGGTTATTATAGTGACTCCTGAGGCCCTCCTTCCTCATTGTCCTCCTATTCCTTCTGGGTTTTCTTCCTTCTTTATTTTGTAAATATAGACCTTTTTTTTTTTTTTTTTTTTTTTTTTTTTTTTTTTTTTTTTTTTTTTTTTTTTTTTTTTTTTTTTTTTTTTTTTTTTTTTTTTTTTTTTTTTTTTGGCTACTTCCAGTTCCCTTGTCTAATGGAAATATATCTGTTGCTGCTCCTTTGACTTATAGAAATGTAACTGCACCTGGCTTCCTGTGTATGGAGATGTACCTTCTCCCAGTCTGTAGTCCTGTGTTTTTCCATGGGCCCCAATTCTAAAAATTCCCTAGCCCTGCCTAAAATTCCTATTTCAATATCAATAAATTCCTATTTCAATATCAATAAATCCAAAGAAAGTTACAATATATAATGGTAAGTACAGTTCCTTCTTCCCATACACCACCATACACCCATTGCACTATGTCTGTGCCACCAAATGGTTCCATAGCAAGAATGAGTGTTCTAGAGTTTCATTGAACTTGACTTCTAAATTTCATAGTTGACTTCTTGGTAATTGCTTGGTAAACTGCTGGGACATTAAGTTCACTTTGGGTCAGCTAATGATTCTCAATTAAAATTACCACTGATCTCTTGAAGCCTCTTCATTCCTTTCGTATATCCACTTGTTGAAGTGGTAACATAAACAAGAGCACCCCTAATTTTTAAAAATTTAATTTACTTTTTAATAAAGTTTTTATTGTTGACAGTTTTACAAATGCCTCCCATCCCCCCTTTACTCCTTCTGCCCAACCCTATACCCCCCCCCCATCTTCACCACCCTATTGCCCATGTCCATGGGCTATGAATATCTATAATAATAAAAGTGTAATATTCTAATTAGACTGGACAACAGAACACCCTTCCAGACATCATTCCGGACATCCTTCAGGATGAAGCTGTTGCGGCGGAGCTGAGGTAGAGGTGATTAGGAGCAATCAGGCAGAAAGGCAAGCAGTTAGGGGTGATTAAGCAGGCAGACAGAGTGGTTAGGGGTGATCAGGCAGGCATAGGCGGTTTAAGGGCAATCAAGCAGGCAGGCAGGGGAGCAGTTAGGAACCAGTGGTCCTGGATTGCGAGACATGTCCCATAGTACAGCCAAGCCACAATGCACTTCACAGCTATAGGCTTGCCACTAGAGACAAAGTATTTGTAAGATTCTATTTACTAATTCTAGCTATTTTTTCTGACATGTGGGATATGTTTGAAAACTTAGAACAAAACTCACTTTAAATTATCATCTTCTATAACATAAATTCATATATTTATATAGTTTTGCAAATTCTGTTGATGATTTGGTTATTTTTGAGCTACATGCATTTTTCATAGGGACATAGATTTCAAGGATAATTTGGCTTTCATGTTATTCAAGCTTACTTTTTCCTTTAATCCTCCTAGCTCAGGGACCTATTTACATAATACCTAGTGCCTTGTTATTTTTTTATTCCTGCTTCATTGGAAAGCTAAAAATAAAAAGAAATGCAATTCCAAAGCATTTCTTAGTTGAAAGATGCATATGGTATCTAACTTTCTAGTGAAATTTCCCAAGATGACTCTGCTTGGAAAAGGTAGATTCTCTTTTATGAATTAATAAACAAGGTAGAGGTTAAGCATCTCAGAATCACCAGCACAACTGCTTTATACATAGTCATACTATTGGCAACACAGTGATTCTTTGAATCTCTTATTTGCTCTCAAGCTTCTTTTTAAGGACACGTCACTTTATTTTCATCAGAAA